GGGGCCAATAGCGTAAGAGTACTGACCATGTATGAGCTCTCACGCGTGTTCACTTACTAGATACGCGACCAGATTCATCTCACGGTCGTAACTACGGTGAAATATGTTCACTTCGTTGTAAATCTCATCGATTAATCGCCTTTCTTGAAGGCTCTGGTAGTACATGATAGATGTGATACATTCATCCACTTCCATAAAGGAGGCCGCCCACTCCTTAAGCTGTTACCACGAGGCCTCCAACCAGTTGTTAGTATTATTACCAAGCGACACTGTTTTTTGTCGCTTGGTGAGCGCACCACAACTCTTAACAGCTATACCACGTTTTCACGAATTAGGCAATTAAAAGGGTGACTAGTCGATTTGAGCGGCACCACTGCAGATTCATCATCATCTGGGTTTTCCTGCCCGATTGGAGCCAGATTATCCCCACTGACGGCAGACTTTGCGGTAGCCAGATTTCGCCCATCCGCTAACAGCTGCTCCTTCAGTAACACCAGATTCTGCTCGACTGTACCCGCTAACGTCGTCTTAACTTCGGCCGTTGCAGTCTATTGGAACTCGGCCGAAGATAACAGATATTGGTAGCGCTCAGTATACACTTGAACTAACTATGGGAGAGTAAACGTACCCCCGCTAACTTCGTCTGCAAAATTCATTGGTTAAAATAGAACAGACCACTGGCGAATTCTCGGAGGGGCAAGTAAGCGTCGGAGTCCGCGAGGACGGTTTAAACGAGTGCGTGGTGAGTTCGTTTGGACGACGTACAACTAGATGCGCTGCGGGGGGTATGTGCTACTCCATCTACTCTTTCTCTGCGATCCCTCTGTTGGCTAATTAATTACTTGTGGTGTGTTTGTGTATTAGAGCTCCTCCAAGCGCAAGACCACGTCTGCTTAAGCACCAAGGTGCCTACATCGTCCACTGCCGAACCTGGTTTATCCCCGGGAAGCCTTGTGTATTTTGCAGTCGGAAGAGCTGCCCAGTCGGAAGAGCTGCCCAGTCGGAAGAGCTGCCACAGAGCCGCCACAAAGACACCATCGGTCCATGAGACCCTACCACTTTTCTCAACGGATGCACGCCAAGCTGCATTACGCTTGCAGGCCATTGGAGCGCAGGTACATACGCTAATACTGTCGGTTTGCTGAGTGTGATGCTAACTACTGTCTGTCGTCTTTACTTTTGCGCTAGAATGAAGGGCGCAGTTATGTTGTGGATGGCAGAGCCTCGCGATCAAAGCGAATGCATGCCGCAATTAGTCTTTGAGGCGCATTATGATAGTATGAACTTGGCGAGGGCAACCGCTGAGGTATGGCTGTCTCGGCAGAAATCTAAATTGGCCTTTATTCTAATCTTTCTGTTTAATCAATTTTTTCTGTGGTCTTCAGCTTTTTAGTCATATCTACTCTGTAGTCACGACGCTGAAAAGCGGATGCGCGACAACGAGCGGAAGGCAGCCCGTTGACCATCACTTAGTTCGCTCCAGGCTTTGACAATTCCTGTAAGTTTACCAGACCTACGTCGTTTGCGTTTCCCTCGTTCTATTTTGTCAGTTTTGCTCAAGCCTGTCACTAACAATGTCTCGCATTGACTAGCCATGGTTACCATAGCAGACATCCACTGCATCCTTTCCAACTCGTGAACTGGCGCTGGGATAGGTGGTATACTAGACAAATCAGCAACGTACGCCACAATTTCGACAGCACGCAAGCAGTCCTTTTGACTTCTGTTGCCACGGGATTTGGAAAGAGAACCGAGACCCTCCACGAAATACTGCACCAAGAAGTCGGACAGACGCTTGCCCCTCAAGCTGGATAAACTGTGTGGCCACGTTTGTTCTACCATTGGAGGACGTAGTTCCAGTGTTGAGGCTGCATTTGGTGGCTGGGTTTGCTCCGCCACGTTGCCGGTACTGCACACAGCGCACACGGTGTGCTCCATGCGAGGCATGTGATCTAACCTATCTAATATTTGATGCATCATGTTTTTCAGACTTTCATTTGCAGCAACAAGTTCTTGATGCCCAAGTAATAACCTCTCAAGCGTATCCCCAAAGGTATGAACTCCAACAAATTGTTCCGCTTGTTCTTCCATCGTGAGACTGCTTTTAATACTTTCTACTGGAAGCGAGAGGATGTTATCAGTAACAAACCGCTTCCGGATCTTGCTACCCCAGTCCAGCAGCTCCTCCTGACACGAATGCAGCTGTGGTAACGCGGCGTGTACACTCTGCATTTTCTGGTGAACAATGTGCTGTGGGGAAATTGCTAGCGTGTCTCGGTAATACATTAAAAGCGTCGCGGTAAGACAGTCAGCAAAACCCTTCGGGAAAAATCTTTGCAAAATGGAGAAGCCGTAAAGAGTCAGCAAATTGGCTAACTCTGGTGTATGTTTGATGTGATTCCATCTCGAAACAGGCTAGCGAGGGTGGATGACCAGCTTGCTTGGTATCTATCCAGCCGCCCAGCACTTTAGCAACATTTTGGTCTGCAGCAGTGGTAGGTGATATGTATTCGAGAAGAGTTGCAAATCCATCCATTGACCACAATCCTCTGTGTGCTAGATCCGACAAGTTCACGCTGGCGTTTGAGCTGGCGTACGCCGCACCACCTCGTCGTGTTGAATGCGACTGGAGATTTCTCGTAAGTGTCAACGTGTGATCATACTTGTACATGGATTTCAATACCTGTTGATGTACGCAGCCACATGCGCTTCCGTCGTAGTCTCCAATACTTGTGAGAACACCCTTGGCGAGGCGTTATACGGATTGGCAATTAGCTGAGATGCCAAAGCATGGAAAGGGTCAATACTCCAGCATATAGGAGAACAGAAAATCGAAATACTTTGTTGTTGTCGAACTTTTATGCTGCAGAACGAAAACTCAATTAATAGGAGCAGAAGAAATAGTACTAGCTAACTCTTACCGTGTGACGTCGATGAGAACAAAGTTCCCATTCCAGTGTAAGTCTGAGAAGTGAATGGTGCCAATATCCGAGCTGCGTCCAATTGCTAGCCATTGATTGTTAAGCAGAGTTCTGTCTAGTAGCGCTTCGACATCATTGCGAAGAAAGAGAATTGTAGAGATGGAACGTAAGTCGTCTAGTGTCATAGGAGGAGCCTGTTGCTTCAGCTTTTTTCCAGTCGAAATGGAAAGCATGAGATATTGTTTTTGAAGATGACGACGACATCGTCGGTACCACTCCGGATCGTTGCGGAAAAGCTCTGTGCCAGTCGTCTCTTCCAGCTGACGCTTGATAGAGCTGAGATAGCTCATCGACGTCTGCCAATGGATGTCAGGATCATTAAACAAAAAAGATAAAAACTTACCAAACATTTATTTTGTCACATGAGCTGCTGTTAGCGTAGCTAGCTTCAGAGTCTTGTCTACATGTCTGGTCAAGAAGGCATTGAACTTCGCCCTTGCGGACGCATCTTGCTTCTTGGAAGAGGGCCCAAGCTCACTCTCCATCAAGTCCACAATCGATTCCACGTTGGTATCGCCTGCCATCTCTTAAAAGCTTTTCCCCGACTGGTCACAGTAAGGTGACGTTACTTGAATGTTGCGCTAAGGTAACTTTGATTATCTTCGTCAGACGAAGTTAAGTAAATACCCTACTGTATCTCGATTACGCCCGACTTCATCACAAAAGACAGTTTGCTTATCTTGAGTCGATTGTAATTGCCCAGCAGAAGCAGCCGATGCGACGTGCACCATGCACTGGAAATGTTTCATGTACGCTTTCTCGTTCTTGGCGTATACGAGGAGGCTCATCAAACTCTGTAACTGGTCCTTCTGCCAATTGCGTGCAGCCGTAGTCAAAACAATTAATCTCTTCATTCAAGTATTTGAGGACGTGAAATGACAAAGTAGAATCGTAACATCCAGGCAAAGGCAGTTTTTTAGCACCAACAGCTCCCGTGAAATCCTTGTCAATCAGCACACAACGCAACTTCGTCCCAGCCAGTATCATTGCGTTTAAATTCTTCAAGTGCTGTTAACAGTGTCTCCCATCGATCGTTCTGTAGAAGTGCATGTTACATGAATTGACCTTTGCCGAAGGTGTCATGGGCCACGAAGTAAATTCTCTGTACTTTGAGCGATTCGTCCCTGTGGGTCGCGTCGATCAGAAGACCTTCCGGGAACAGGTTGAAAAGGGATCGCGTATGCTTCGTCTGTAAGGTTATACAGGTCGCAATTTTCTACATGACCAAAGATTTTACCTTGGTAATAAGACCAATATGTAAAATCAGTAATAATCTGCTTTTCATTCCTTTCCACCCACGTCATCAGCGAATATACGCTGTACCACGTTCCCAGCTACATCACCAAACTCTGACACCTACTTCTTCAAGCCCTTTCCGCTGAAGCTCGACCTACTTCCACTCTCACGATTCTTCATCTTTCGGACGAAATTATGGACATTGGTTTGAGTTTATCCGAATTGTCCTTCATAAACTTCAAATACTTATTTTTTTTGCCCCGCCTTCTGTAGCTCATTGATAGTCTGCAACGCACCCTGATCGAGAGCGATATACTTAGAGGAGTGCCCCTTAAAAGAATACTCGCTCAATCTGTGATTCTGCTCGAGATGGCACCTAGTAATCACGAGTGCGAACGTGTTGTTGACCTTGGCGACCACTTAGACGCAGACGTTTATCTACACGAAAAGTGGTGGCATAGAACAAGGTCATGGTCAATAGAATCATGAGCTAAATAACCGCATTAAAACTTGGGCCCGACTAATCCCCACCATATCTAGACTGAAACCCGACCAGAACAGATTCAGCCCGATTGATAAAGTTCTTCGGGCAACTGTGAGAAAGAAGCAATTCGTACATGCACTGTGCATCCTTGGGAGCGACTCTTCTGTCGAGGCCGTTTACTCGTAGCCTTGGATCGGTATGACCCATGGTGCGCGCAGACATAAGTATTGGCATACTGAAACCACTCGACGGGAACAGGAGACGCTTTTGAGCCCTGCTTCGCAATCCTTAAATTTCGCTCAGTCACCGTGGTATTCGTCCGCGATCGAAAGATCTGACAAGCACGTAAATTCTTTAGCACATGGATAAAGCTAATAAAGATTTAAAAAAGAATACGACAGCATATCTGGAAGAACTGTGCCTGATATGATTTTAGGTAGACCTCGAAGGCTTCCCATGACTGCAGCTGTATCTGTCCCGGCGGATGGGCGATGACTTTAACCTGGGTGGCCTCACCGGTACTGGTTGCTGTCTCTGTCGTCTTGCCTCGATTCCCACGCCACTTGTACGTGGAGTCGTTAGATGCTTGACTGTCACTCCCGTCCTCGACGTCGTCAGCGGAGAGACGGCGCTTTTGCGCTCTTCGCGGCTGCGGCATCCTTCTTCCTTCGGAACCGCGCGTTTGCTGAGGAGGAGGGGGAGGGATTGGTGTTGCTTGAACAGACTAGTATACGCTGCGTATACGCTATACCTCGTACGGATACGAAAAAAAGCAAATCGGATATACTTTAAAGATGTGCGAATCGGAAAAGCTAGCATATGTCCGGTCACTTAAAGCCCCTTACAGATATCAAAGTAAAGGTCGGATGTCTCACAAACATGTGCAGACTTCCGGTCACTGTATTTTCATACAAAAAATAAGATGGCTTCACAAACGTTAAGATAGCAAGTACCAAATCGACTGCCCATCCTAATTGTTTTTCTTTTTATGTTGTCTCTCACAGCCAATCAGCTCATAAAATGCTTCATAATAATCGTGTTTTTTTTCTCGCAAAAAATTGATTAGAATCGGAATAAAATCTGTCCCTTAATATACAGTTGGCTTGCGCACTGACCGGAAAGTCGGAAAAAATACTCATTTCCTATTTTCTTACGTTTTCAGTTTTGGCGCCAAATCTATTCGCCAAATACGTTTAGGGGGGGCTCAACCACTCCGCATCCCAAATGCTCACAGGACTTTAATTTGAAGCCCCCCCCCCCAAAAAAAAAAAAGGTTTTCGAGAAGCACATAAAATACGAGAGCATTGAGACACTGAAGTCGCCTAAAATGAACGACGTGTTTGACCTGGATGAACCCGTTGAGCTTGATGGAACGCGACTTAACCATTTCAGTTTAAACTATGGTGGGCGTTAACCCTGATAGCCGTCAAGGCAAGAGCCCTCATGATTTTGGAGCAACAAGCGACTCTGAATTTACGCCACCAACCATGGATGAGATCAGCGAAACAGCTTCCTGTAGTATCGGCATTGACTTTGGCCGTTCAAAATGCGAGGCAGCCGTTGTCAGTGACACAGGCAGTGTTATACTGATTCCTTTTGAGCCACATAGCACTGAAAACTGCTACTCACTATCGAGTTTCGTCTCAATGGGGGTTGCTCACTCGGGAGAAGGGGAAGTAGGACTCCAATCAATTAACCGAGCGAAGGCTGGACATTCGTATACTGTGTACGACCTGACAATGCTGCTTGGGCAGAAGACAGAGACGCTCTCAGCACAAGACGTCAATCGTTGGGCTTTTACTCTTCAAGCTGGAGCTGCTGGCAAAGCTGTCGTGGAATCTCCTGCGAAAGGCAACGTCCCTGATCTAGTGTATCCCGAACAAGTTGCAGCCTTGCTCTTCGCTACGATCAAGAACCGAGCTGAGACTTTCACTGGAAAGCGTGTCACTACTGCTGTGGTGACGGTACCAGCAGCTTATAACCGGACCCAGCGTCAGGCCGTTTGGGACGCCTGCAGAATTGCTAACTTGGATGTCGAGCGGCTCGTTATTTCATCCACGGCGTCTGCTGTCGCCAATGCAGATTCCGTAATTGACGCTGCGGCTACTGTCTTCGAGAAGACGATAGTTGTAGTAGACTGTGGTGCTGGAAGTTTGAATGTAACATTGGCTCGGGTACGTGAAGCTGGCGGACCTTCCTCGTCGATTGAAGTCGAGGTTGCAGCTACAGCAGGAAATATGGAGCTGGGAGGTGAAGCTCTAACGGATCGTCTTTTTGAGCATTTCCACAGTGAGGCGAAGGTAGTCGACACCAGTTCAAAGTCGACAAGTCCAGCATTTTCCAGACGCCTGCGACGTGCGTGTATGTTGGCTCAAAGGATCCTTTCGACTTCACAGCAAGCTGCAATTGATCTGCCTTGGCAGCCTCGACGTGCCTGTGGCTCTGGTGCAGTCAATGGAGTGATGACAGGGTTCAGTAGCAGCATCTGGCGAGCAGATTTCGAGTCGTTGTGTGGGTCGGAGACGTGGGACTGCTTGCCGACCACCGTTGAGCAAGTTCTCGCGACCGCGAAAGTAAAGAAGGAGGACGTTGATGCGGTCTTGGTCACTGGAGGAGCCATGCAAGTGCCAAAACTCCGTGAAGTTCTTGGAGACTGCTTTGCCGAACACTGGAATCGAATCGTGGATCTACCGAAACATACCGCTGCAATTGGTGCAGCGATGATTGCAGCTCAGAGCAGTGGTCGTGTATTGAAGAATGAGACCACGCCGTTGTCGCTTGGGATTCGCAGTTCCAGTGGAGATACACTAATTGTAGTGCCTCCTAGCTCGACGGTACCGACGCGACAAGCACAACTGTACTACGCAAGTTGCCAACGGGAGATCAAGTTTGACATTCTGGAAGGGTTAGTTGCGAATCGCACTGCCGGCGCTACTCCGAATAGGCTGGAGCACTGTCTGGGTCGTATTCTTATCGATGGGAAACGCGCATCTTCCCCTTTCATTCTAAAACTTGAGATCGCGTTCGAGCTGGATGCGACTTGCGAGTTGGAAGTCGTGATCTCGGATAAATCGAATGATCGAGTCACTCGTTTGCTGGTGTCTGGAGATGAAACGTGTCTCCAAGGTGAAGCAATTACGCTCGCCCAAACGTCTTTGGCCGAGGCGCTACACTGTGCTGCTGATTTGGGGAATACGTCCGTGCCGTCGACTGCTTCGTCGGATGATACCTCTACGACTGACGGTAACTCAATCGATACTCTGCGCGCATGCGTGAACAAGCTGAAGCCACTGGTGATGACAAACGGTCTTAGTGTCTGCATCCCACCGGGAGATCTCTTTCTTCTGCGTTCGAAGATCGAACATGCGAGTGCGTGGCTTGATCTGCTTGATGCCAGCCACATCTCGAGCCAGGAACTTCTCACCGCGCGGGATTATCTGCGTCAGATCCGCATGCTGCATCTTTCGAGCACTGCAAACAGCGCGTTAGTCCAGTTACGCCAGGAGATGAACCTGTTCAACTGAGTACCACAACAAACCTCGAAGAGTTTGGAGTGACGGAGACGCGTGTTTGCTACAGTACAGTAACGTTAAGTTCATAAGCGCGAGACTACAGCAGAGCAAAAATAACAACACTAAGCAGACCAAAAAAAATTGTACGCTCTGCTTTGTTTGTGTGCCACCTGTCTACTCTACGCATGGAGCTCTGTGTTAATGAGCTCCACAAGTTTGTCGAGATCCGCTAGTCCTTTCTTCACCTCGAACGTCTTGAGGTTGCCTAGCTTGGTGTAAAAGTCAACCAATGGGGCCGTCTCTTGGTTATACACTGCCAGTCTCTGTTTCACAGTATCAGGAGAGTCGTCTCGACGCTGTACCAGTGACGCCGAGCCACATGAGTCGCAGATACCCTCCACATTGGGCAGTAGCGGTGGCATGTAGTACTCTCCCTGGTTGATGAAGGCTACGTTGTAGCCCGAGCCGCACTTGGTACACACCCTAGTCACACATCCGCACAAAATTAAGTTTTGTCCACAGATACCAATCTCATTCAACGCTTACTGACCTTCTGCCGCTGATCTTGTCCGAGAGAATCCACTGAGGCAGGTCGATGTTGATCACCAGGTCCAGCTTGGTCACCTGCTGGAAAGCCTCGGCTTGCGGTACATTACGCGGAAATCCGTCCAGGATAAATCCACGCTTGGCGTCGTCCTGCGCCAGCCGCGTCTCCATCATGTCCAGGATAATCTGGTCAGGTACGAGTGCTCCGCTGTTGTTGTAAGCCTTGATCTTGTCTCCGAGCGGCGTATTGGTTTTGATCTCATGACGCACCAAATCCCCCGTCGAGATGGTCGGAATCTGCAGCATGGGAGCGATGCGGGACGCGTACGTGCCTTTGCCCGCGCCTGGGGCCCCAAGGAACATGATCTTAAGAGACTTTGACGCCATGGTTGACGTCCCTGACGTCAGTTGGATTGTGAGCCGGTCAGCAAGACCGATAAAAACGCAATACGGTATGTCACTAAAACGGGGAGTACATGTACATCGCCCGCTTACGAAGCATGTTTGCAGACTAGCTTCAACTTGTGAAGTCCGAAGTTTTTTCGTACATGTACTACAAACGGGTAGTATTAATAGTACTATCAATTGACGATGATAATAATGAAGTTTGAAAATGCTGATCTCTCAGACTACAACACGGGGAAGAATCCCCCGAAATCGCCGTCCTCGTCTTCCCCGACGTCGTCAATATCTTCGTCTCCAGAAGAGCCACTGTCACCGTCTTCCGCGTCGTAACCGAGTATTTCGTTGAAGAGATTCATCAGTGCCGGCGGCATGCGGTCGCTAGGGTCGTTCTCGCAGTAGTACTCGTCCTCTGGGGAGTTCCAGAACAAAGCTCTTTCTTTGTCTCGAGGACGCCAGCTCATCGTGAACATGTCGATCTTCGAGAAAGAGTCTCCAGACACGCCATTCACCGAAGCGTTCAGACTGAGCGACGGGTGCATCTCCTTCACGCGATACATCAACGGTCTCAGTTCCTCACGCATGTACTTGGCGGTCCACTGTTTGCTCACTCTCGAATGGTACGGATTGCTTAGAAACACCTCGAATTTCTGCTTGCATGCTGCGGCTCCGAAGTCCTGTTCGCTGGTTTGTGCTAGTCGGCATAACAGTCCCACAACCACTGAGTAGAACATGGGTACGCCAAAGAAGCCGTCCTGCTGGCCTCCGATGCGTAAATCCAGCATCCGCCAATCGTTACTGAAGTAATTTACCTCGAGCACACGGCGCATGTAGTCGAAGATGCCATCCCCTGTGCACATTACGGCTGCATTGCTCTCCACCGAGTACAAGTTCTTCAGCTCAGCGAGATTGACTAACGAGGCATCGGTGAACGTTCGAATAGGTCTCACATTCATCACCTCGAAATTGGCGCAGTTTCTAATTGCGAAGCGCTCAAGACGAGGACAGTTTGTAGCCACTGAAGCCCAGAATTCATCACCAAAGCTGTCGATCTTGAAGTGTCGAGCAGCCGAGTCGGTGTATTTCTGCAGATCAATTTCGACGGTGAGGTTTTTCAATGCAGGGCAACCTTTAAAGATGGCGGCGACATCTTTCGCGTGTTGTCCGTAACATTCCTGAATTGCTTCGGCAGTGGCAGCTCCACACACCTGGAGATATTCTTTCCAACTCCAGAGCAAGTTGGCAGTGACACTCAGAGTTTCCAGCAGCGGCTTCGGATTTGCACCAAAGACGCGGAAAAACGGATCTGCAAAGGGCACGGGTGCAAAGTGGAACTCGCGCAGACCCGTGCAGGCTTTGATGAACTTCTTCCAAGAGTCCAGCGATACCATCCACTTGTCCTCGCAGCGAACACCTTCATAATCATGGGAAGATTTTTCCGAGCCATCCAAATGCTCGACTTTCGGACAGTATTTTGCCACTTTCTCCAGAAATTCTTCACTGGACTGGTGACGCTCCGCATCATTTCTCGTTGGTACAGTCAGTTGCCTCAGCCCTCCACGAGTTCCATTCAAGTGCAGTTGCTTCAATATACCATAAAGCTCCTTGAGCACCGTCTCGATCTTGTCTCCCTTAACAACTTCCTTCAACTCGGTCTTCCGTGGTAACACCAAGCTCTCCAGGTGGAAGCAGTGTCTCCCAGCTGCCTTCAACAGCTCTGGCAGATGTTTACTGTGCAGTGGCACCAGCTTCAGATCCAGGCGTCGAAGACCCGGCATCTGGGCTAAAAGTGCGTCCCAGTCCACTTGCGCCTCCTCTGTTTCCTTGGTTGGCAGCATAACTTTGCTTTCCTCGTAGCCGTCCTTCGGTTCTTTGCCAATCATGACTCTGAGATCGCGTACATCTCCACTCCGAGTCGCGGCTTCACTTTGGACGCCTACAATCTCCTCTTTTGCTCCAGTTCTCAGCTGGACTTCCATTGTGTCTTGCTCGTACTGCGTCATCAGTTGCTTAACAGGTTGCAACCAGCCCTTGGACACCATCGCCACGTCTTTCAGGTGCTTTCGAGGGTGAGAGCGCTTCGAGGGGAACAGGTCATGCGAGTAATCGTATAAGGCAAACTCCATGACCACGGAGTAAACGGAGAGCGGCAACGACGGCAGCGAAGAGGGCGGCATGATTGCGAGCGAGAACTTGGTTCGCTTCCATGTCTTTCGAGAGCTGGAAACGTATGCGATAATACCGGTAGCGGGAACAGAAATTCTTCAAAAAATATTCCACTACTTCGTCATTCCGTCGGAAAAACCGTGGACAGGGGTATTCGTTTGGGTTTGCTTGTCGTTCGCTGAATGCTGTGGTTAGAGCTTCCAGTTAACTTCAGTCAAAAGAAAAAGGGTTTTTGCCTTATTCCGACCAGTACCTCCAGGTTTTATTCTCCATGATGTCTAAAAAAACTCCAGCTATTTAAGGGTCTCGTCATCTCGGGTTGCCTGTTTTTTAAATGCTTGATTGAACCAACAATTCGTCCGAGAGGCATTGACCACGGCGGCTGTGGCCAAATTCTCGACGCTACGTGTAAAACTTTCTGTGTCCGATCTCGCTCGAAAATGCGGGCCGAACAAAAGAAAATTCTCTCCAGTTCTTCTGCAAAGGCCGCCACTTGTGTTGCGAACAAATGATAGGAACAAATACTTACGTAAGTAAGTACAAGTACTGTAGTCTGTAATTTGGATATTACACGTACAACAAGGAGTGTACGTGTTGAGCCACAATCTGCGAAGCTACTTCTGCGTGTGCTCATCTTCAAACCCCTCGTCCAGTAGGCCGATGCAGATAAGGATCATCATCATGCGATCCACTCCGGCAGCCACGTCCACTACAACGCTCTGACCTTCCTGGGTCTTAGGGTCCTTGTGCGTATATTTGAGTCGGGCGATGATTTGCTGTACGTCGGTCGTCTCGCCCGAGCCGCGCACGAGCCAAAAGTTGAGCGAGTCACTGCCATCCGTGGATGGATCGCAGCCGATGGTGCAGTGCTGGCCGCCGACCAGATCTGTGAACTCAGAGCGCACCGTGGTGTCGTCAGCGGTGAACTTGAAGGCGTAAGGAGTCTTTGGGCAAATTATCAAAGAAAAGCAATTTAGTGGAAAATATGATGAAAGCGCGCAAGTAGCAGAATAAATGTTACCTCCTCGTGATCCGTCGAAGGATAGGCACTGTAGGTCGGTGTCCGATTGAACATGCCGAGTCGCAATGTAGCCACAGGAAGCTCGTTACGTGCGTCCAGCAGCGTGCGCTGGCGGTGCAGCGAGTACTGTTTGTGCTGGATGAGAAATAGCGTCTCGCGCGTAGCAACATCAACCACAGAGTCCGGTGTGACGCGGAGCTGAACGTGCTTGGAGGCTACCTGGCCCGCGTCGAATGCAGCCACAAAGTGGCGCAACGCAACGAGCGTCTGCACCTTGGAAGCGACATCGTGCATATCCATGACTATATGTTCTGTGGCGCTTGCGGGTGCGTGACAGGCGGCGATAGATAGAGTGAGCTATCCGTCCGATAGCTGCCAATAAATAAATGGTACACAGTGTTGTTGCATACGTTGAGTAAGATAAATAAACTGTACCCACAAGTCGCTAGCACCTCACTGTTGCAAACGAACTCTTCCATCAATTTCTAACGTTACACACTATCTGTAACTTACAGATAGCAGAGCTACCGGTTTTCCATCAAGCAGCTAACAGATTAGACGAACGTAGTCGCCGCTCGCTGCCGTGCGCGAGGTTGGCCACGACGGGGAAACTCTTTAGTACAGTAGTCCAGAAGACCCGTGTGCTTCCAGCAGCTCACAAAGACGGGTGCTTCCAGAGCTCCAAACTTTAGGTACAGCTTTGACCATGAAAGTGATGGTACCCTTGTAATGGTACAGGCAGCACCGTATACGATCCCTCCGGATACTACCCGGCGGAAAGTGGCCTCCCAGGCTGTAATTTATCGCTAGCTTTCTACAAACAGATTTAAATTCTCAGACGACAGCAGAAAATAACGGAGAAGGGAGTTTGAATATCTTACCGAACTTGAGGAAACAGCCGAGCGAAGATAACGTTTTTTTCCAACGGCGCTATCTGGTAACGACAATATGACCAGTCAACTCCAACCACTTGCTATCAGTCTTGCTGTGCAAGAAGCATTTCTCATTGGAACAGGCGATTGAGATCTATGACGACCGATAGAAGTCGCCCAGAGCGTGTTGAGGAGCAGGACTCGGTCAAAGTCTGTGTGCGCATTCGACCACTCGGTTCCAAGGAGAAGCACGAGCAGACGAAGAGCTGCATCCGGATTGCTGCATCTTTCGACGGATTATCAAGTAGCAACACTTCTGCCTCGTCACGAGATGGATCCACGAGGGGCCCTCAACAGCTCATCGTCGGAAAAGACCGCGCTTTCACTTTTGACAACGTTCTAGGTGTCACCAGCTCGCAAATGGTACGGACAGTAAAGAATTTTGGAATTAAACGCAGTAGTTAACGAGATCTTCTATAGGAGACGTACCGGTTGTGTGTGGCGCCACTGGTTCAAGGGTTCTTGGACGGCTACAATGCAACCGTGTTAGCCTATGGCCAGACAGGCACGGGAAAGACCCACACGATGGCTGGAACTGGGTTTGATGGTCGAGGTCGAGAGAAGAATGGGGAGTTGCAAGGCATCATTCCAAGGGTAAGATGACTGTCGAACCCATTTTTCTATGAAACCCAACTAAACATTTTCTTGTTAAATAGGTGATTAAGGCTGTTTTCAAGAAGCTACAGCACGAAGAAAAGGGTGACAACCAACGTCGGAGTGACCACACATTACGAGTCGAGTATGTTGAAATCTACAACGAAGAACTTCGAGATCTTCTCCATCCAGAAACGACCTCGAAACAACTAGCAATTCGTGAAGACGGAGAAGGGAATATCGTGATCGCTGGGGTGAAATCGGAGCCTGCAGACTCGATGGAAGCGGTATTCAGACATTTGGTTGTTGGAGGCGCATCACGTGTGACTGGTAGCACGTTGATGAACGAGCACTCGAGTCGTTCGCACGCAATCTTCAGTCTGCTACTGGAACAGCGAGACCTCACCTCAGGCACGCGCCGATTCTCGAAATTTCATCTCGTAGACTTGGCTGGATCCGAGCGTGCTAAGCGCACTGGAGCCGTGGCAGGTCGCTTCAAAGAATCTGTCAGCATCAACCAAGGACTTCTGGCGCTCGGTAATGTTATCAGTGCGCTTGGAGACGACAAACGGCGCATTGGAACTGCTGGGGGCACTGTACACGTGCCATATCGAGACTCGAAGCTCACACGTCTGCTGCAAGACTGCTTAGGGGGTAATGCTCGGACTTTGATGATCGCGTGTGTGAGTCCAGCGAGTGTGAACTTTGAAGAAACCCTCAACACGCTCAAGTACGCCAACCGTGCGAAAAACATCAAGAACAAGCCGATTGTCAACGACCGCGTCGCTAGCGAAGAAGAGCGTCAACGCAACGACCTGGAGATGACACGCATGAGAGAAGAGATCGCCAATCTCCAAACACAACTCCAACAGCACAAGACAGTGACGCCACCGTCACGGACACCATCTCGCCCACCTTTGTCGATCGGGAAGAAGGAGAAAGCCGCAGACAGCGAGCGAGATTTGGCTGTTGTAAGCCGTGAACTTGCACAGGCCACGAAGTGTGCGAGTTTGTATGGAGACGCCGTGGAAAGTATTCGTACTTACTCGATGGAAGCGGCTACACTCTTGGTAGCAATGGAGCGAGAGATCATCTCGTTGGGGAGACCAGTTCAGCAGCGACTCAACGAGATCGTGAAGCTACTTAACGCTTCCATTCAGACGGCGAACTGTAGTGTCTTAAGTGCCAAGAAGCTGATGCCTTCCCCGTCTCGTCGACAAGTGAAGGATGATCCTGCAAGTCAGGACGGTGATTCGTCTCAACAGGAGGAAGATACGACGATTGTCCAGCAACTACGTCATGAACTGAAGGAAGCCAAGACGAATTTGGCTCGAGATGAACAGATTTTCGAGATGAAGAATGTCGACATTCAAAAGCTTCAGGCGCTGCTAGTGGAGGCGAAGGGAAAGAACGAGAAACTTATCCAGCGAGTACAAGAACTGGAGCGTGGTGGCCAGCTCTGGTCGAATTCCGAAGCTCCACGCTCGAGAGAAAGAGAAAGCAAGGAACAGGGAGGCGAAACCTCAGACCGTACGACTACTTCATCTCCTAGAGGTCGAAGCTCACGATCTTCCAGTAGAAGTAAGATACTAACAGCGTCACGTGGACTATTTACTCGTCGTGGTGGGACTGCTGCAGCTTACGATGGAGACGAAGACAAGGTGGTGATGGACGATGAGGACGACGAGTCCAGGATGCCGTCTGCTCCACGCAAATCCAGGAACGGGGCGATCGGATTCTCGCGTGGAAGTAGCAGAAGTGATAGCACTCGAGGCAGTCTCACCTCGGGCACTCGGTTGAAAACAAGCGAAGCGATTGAGAAGCTCGAGACCACCATCGCTGCTCTACAGGAGAAACTCGAGGAGCTGCAGAAGAAGAATGTACGGTGCGTTCGTTTTGGCCGAGTGATGTTTGTCGTGGTCTCTAACTCGTGTTTTGCTCTAGGAGGAACTACTGGACGCCCGTGAGGGGTCTACCAGGCGCTGGTCCTTGGAACGGCAGAACTACGAGCGTCAACTTCGTGAGGCCGAACACTCGATCGAGGCGCTGAAACGAGACAACCAGATCCTCGAAGACTCGGTGCTTGATGACACGTGCAGCGAAGCAAAGGAGACGAACACTTGTCAAAGTCCAAGTGCAAAGGCGACAATGATTGAAGACCGACCGGATACGACTGCTTCAAGCAAGTCAGGACGTCCGCCAATCGCTAGCAGACCAGTCGACAAGGAAGCTATGGTAGTTGCCTTTGAAAGCAGCGTCAAGCAGTTGATCGAGTATCATGCGACGCGACGAGAAGTGGTTCACTTGCTGAAGGGCAAGAAAGAGGCTGAACAGAGCAGAAGCGAAGCAGCTCGACGCGTTAATGCGTTGGAGATGCAGAAAATGCGTCAGAGCTTGGGCGTGCGTGAGAGTATCTCGGATTTATCCAAGTCTCTTCATGTGCTCGACGAGAAAATGCAGGCAGCATCCAAGTCTCTTGAGGAACTTGAGCGGTTGAAGAAGCTGCGAGCACGTGCAGAGCAGAAGCTCAAAGGCCTGCGTAGACAGGAAGAGAAGGCTGAGTTCCTGGACAGTGCAGCTCAACAGGAACTTCAGGATCTCGAGGAGTTGATCGTCGACTTGGACTCGCACATCGCCTTCCAGGACGCCGAGCTGAAGGCTGCTCGAAATGATCTACTGGCTATCAAACATCGCTCGGAAACCACGGACGCCAAGTCACCTCTTGATGGTCTAGCCAACAGTCTGGTTCAGCATCTTGGACTCGGTAATGCCGAGGCTGCGGGTGCTGCAGCTTCTGTCGTGGGAAAATGTCTGGACGAGGTAGCGCGACTTCGAATGCGTGTGAGTGAGATGGGGAGCGAAGTTCAGGAGCTGCAAGGAATGCTGGACGAGCGTAACGAGGCTCTCAGTCAGCTGGAAAGTGGCCTGGCAGTGGCTCGCGATGAATTTGACCGACGTCTTGCAGCTCAACAACAAGCGAGTGATGAGGCCATGGAGCAGCTCAAGAAGATGCAGCCCAAGGTTCTTGTGCCCTCAAATAACGACGAAGATGGTGAAGCTAGTGACTCGCACAAGGATGAGGAGTGGCAAAAGCTAATTGTTCGTTGCCAGAAGAAGGACGAGTACATTGCCGACTTGGAGAAGCACCTGGTGTTCTACAAGTCTAAGGCGAAACAGATGCAGGCTCAACTACAGCAGCTCATCCGGTCGTCAACTGAGCAGCAAGAGCAGTCCGAGGACGGATCTTCCGATGCTGAACGAGAGCGGCAACTACAGCGGAGGATTCAGCAACTCGAGGACGCTAATGACGCGCTTATGAAAGATCTGGCCACTGCCAAAGTCTACCTTCGAGCTTCTCAGACTCGAGGCAGCGACGCCAGAAGCAGCGGAGAACACGCTGGAGCGAAAGTAGTTCGGGTCTCCCGGAGTGAGCTCCGCGAACTTGCAGCTCCTCCAGCTCCACCTTTACAAGCCTCAGACCTACGTAAGGAGTGACAACATGGCAACTTGAAGAACATACATGTTGCCTTGTTTGTCACTGTAGCGAGGGAAAATAGCAATCATTTTCAAATAGATGGCCAACGTATCAGGTTCAGTTGTTGCTCCGTCGTTGGCTCCGACGCAGCTCGAGCATGAGCACGTGCACAAGATTTACGACCTCATCGCTCCTCATTTCAGCCACACCCGACACCATCCATGGCCACAGGTGACGAAATTTTTGGACAAGTTGGAACCGGGTGCACTCGTGGCTGATGTCGGGTGTGGCAATGGCAAATATCTGAACGTGACCCCTTCGCTGTGCATGATTGGAGTCGATCGCAGTATCCCCTTGATGCATGCGGGAGCTCCAAGTGCCAGGTAAGCGCTACCTTAAGGATTATTGATGGAAGTGGGAACTTGTTGCACTGACTGGGCCTGATCAATTCAGCAACTTGTTGGGCTGCGATGCATTGAAGGTTCCATTACGGACAGGAGCATTCGATGCAGCATTATCGATTGCTGTGGTGCATCATATTTCGACGGAGGAACACTTATTAGGTAGGGAGGGGTTGATAGTTTTTCGTACTTGTTGAAATGACGGGATACTGATTGGAGTGAATATTGCTTTGTAGTGAGCTGGCACGGATGGTGCGAATTGGTGGTGAGGTGTTAATTGTGGCGTGGGCGTTCGAGCAAGACGAGCGCTCGAAACGTCGGTTTGAAAAGCAAGACGTCATGGTAGAGTGGAAGCTTCAGCAAAAGTATGCCAAGGAGGAGGAAAAGGAAGACAGCGCTTCCGGATCGCACGGAAAGGTTGACCGCGAAAAGCGATGGGTCGTTTATGAACGGTACTGTCATGTGTATCGCAGTGGGGAGCTTGAAGCGCTAGTGGCGCAGGTGCATGGCCTAGAGGTAGTTTCTGTCGAGTACAGTCGATCCAACTGGTGCTTGCGCCTAAAACGGGTGGCGACATAAAGGTCAATACACCACATTTCGGAAGACACTACGCTGAGCTTGTCCTTGCTGTGTGCTACGCTTGCTTAATTACTGTTAAATGGGTTCATTCTGTCTGCAACCACGTGGAGTAGCTAGTCCACAGGGCTCCGTCAACAAATAGAACTACGGTTTCGAAGGTGCCTTGTAAAAAATCTATCAGAAACTGTTCTGGCTGGAGCAACATGGACCTCGTCAACGTCGCTGGTGTTATCAATGAAATAGTCAAGGAGAACGAATCGGGCTCGGAGAACGATGATAACGATGAGACCACGGACGGTAGCGATACTGCGAGAGTAGCTGATAGTGCGATAACCTACGCAAGGTTTTAGTCCTGCAACTTATTACAGTTTTTGTAACTTCTAAAAACACACTGACTGCCATTGTACGCAGGGAATGCTTGCGAAGTGAGAATTATATAGAGGCAACAATTGCGCTGCGAAGCGTGTTAGAGATATCGACACCAACTACGACGTCGTATAAAATGGTGATGCTCCATATCGCACAGCTTCTAAAAGCTGCTCAAGAACTCAAGGCAAGCATCGACTGTATGCTGGTACGTTTCTGATCGATCAGATCAGCTGTGCTCTCGTGTAATCAAGGAACTTACGTTTAATAAGTAGACCGTTTACCGAGCGATGCCTCTGCCTTTATCGACTTCGGTTGCCATCAGTATCATTGTAAGCTGCATATTTACTGTTTTTTTCTTGTTTCTCATATAATCAACATTTGCTTCTTGTTCATTAGGCTCGGTCGTATGAACAGCTTCAATCGCCTAACATGGCTCATTTCTGGTGGAAGAAATGGAATATGCTGCCTTCAAATGACCGTGGTGATCCCACGAAACCTGACGCGCGCTGTTGGGATGCCATGGCAGATCGGTTGTTTGACGCAGAGCTTTATGTGTTTGCAGCCGACTTTTACGCTCAAGCACTGGCAGCCGACGTCGAAAAACAGATCGAACCATCCAACCGCTTTCGGTATCGCTATCTTCTGTCGCTGTTAGCATTTGTAGGTCCTCAAGGACCTACGGTTCACCTGGATTTGTGCAGATCGGTTGCTTGGACGCTAAGTCAGTGGTTTCGGCGCGGAGATGGAAACGATGCTGGTATTCGCGATTGTTTTGGAGACCCTAACTTTTATCGGCTTCGTGCTGTGTATTTCACTTCGTTTCCAGCAATGTATCGAGTAGTGTTCGCATGGGTGGATGGACCTGCTGGTCGAATAGCACGCTGTTGGAGACATCACTGGGCTATGCTGCATCCACCACCAAAGCCTGTCTCTCCAGATTCGACTTCCGGAACTCGAGCTAAACTAAAAGAGCAGAAGAAAAAGCCAAAACCACATCTGACATCACCCGCTCGACAGTCTCGAATCCCAACTCGCACCGCCTTCCGTGGAAAGGTATCTGCACTTTCATCCACGTCTCAGTCCCCAACGAGAAAGCCGCGTACCAGCGATCGTAACCTCCAAAACGTGAAGCGTACGAAGCCTGCTAGAAGGACAGGATCGAGCAACAATGCATCATCTGCCGAAGAGAATCAACAGTTTCAGGGTGACCAGAAGGTGTCTTTGATCGAAGAACGCTGCGAAAATGTCAAGCTCACCGCTTCTGCAAAGAAGTCCAGCGAATTCGACGAGCTCTCACCGATGAAACGAAGGACCAGCGTTGTCAAGTAAGTATCTTCGCTCACGAACTTACACAAAGTTTCTAATTTAGTTTATGCCAGACGTCTTCGAGTCAAGCGCGCCGAGCGCCCTGCGTCTGCGGGTGTTGAGAAGATTTCTAGCGATGAAGAACAAACCCTCACTCAATCCTCCAGTACGAGCTTGTTGGACATATACCCCCTCAACTTACCGAGAGCAGATAACTTCATCGCGACATGTGGTCGAGAGCCTGGATTTGCCGATCTCGACTTGAACGAGGTGGGGGAGTTTGCTCGTCTGGCTCACTACCGAGCACGCGTTCTCACCGGCAAACATGCTGCTGTGAAGAATCTGGATACAACTGAAGTGAAACCTCAATGGCTGCAAGATGTCGAACGAGCAGCGGCCTTCATTAAAACTCATTGGCAACGGAACTTGGTTAGTGGCAAAGTGGTAGTCGAGGGCGACTCGGCTGCTCATTTGTCTGAGGTTCACACCCGCTTGGTGCTTATGATCACTAATCTATGTCGGCAATATACTCGCGACCATGGCGAGACTTCATTTACTCGACGACTACGAGTGGTAGCCAGAAAGTTGATTGAATGGAAGTTCACACGCATCTCCGAGGTCATCGCTGCTCTGAACGACGCCAAGACTGTCGCTATACATGAAGAGAAACAGAGAAATCTCGAGTTTTACCACGTTCACCGCGGTTAGAAAAAAATAAGTAAGGATAAAACACGAGTGCAATACCGTAGATACTTTTGCGTTTTAATTTGCGTGATGCTACTCATGTGGCTGTTGACTGGCAGTACTGGCCGTACCGGTCGTATTCGAGCTACTCTGCTCCTTCTGAGCCTCACTAGTCGGCTCTGCACCGTAGTGGCTTCCATTCCGCTGAAGTTGGTAGCTTTGGTCGCTGTTCGTATGACGATGGTGCTGAAGATACGCTTGCTGGGCTTCACTTTGTCGCGGAGAGCGGCCACGCGGTTGTTCAGAATGAGCACTGCCAGGTCGCGACGTGGAGATGCGGTCGACGTCCACCATTGAGAATGCTGCGCTTGTACCTAGAGTATCACTAGGAGACATGAAGCTCGCAGTTTCGCGTTGAATGCGAGACACACCAGTTCTTGCTCGCATGACAGGGTATTGAGGATATGCGAGACCGTTCGTCGCGGGGCTGGCTTGGCCGCCGGGTGAAGACCCCGTCGAGTCCCGATAATAACTTGTAGGCGTCCCTGAAGCTGCAGCACCTTCCGCCACGTCCAGGTTCCGTGCACTTAATCGATGCATGTAGCGTCCTTCAGCTCGAATTCGATTGCGAGGGTGAGCTTCCAGCTGGCGATCCGACACGAACGCATCACCTCGTTCGCGCCAACCCGGCGAATCGGCAAAGCGACGAGCATACTCCGCAGACTCCACACGATCAGGACCCGACCAACGATAAGAGTACGAGTTCTCCATGGTTGGGTCTCGGCTCGAAGGGCGTCGGTATCCTCGTAACTCAGGAGGGGCTTGAATACGCGCTTCACTTGTTGTCTCACCACCAACAAACCGATCTCCAGAAATTCGAATGCGTCCTCCCATTCCCTGGCCGCGATAAGCAGCGAGTCGACTGGCGGCTTCAGCACGACGATCCAGATCTTCAGGTCGGTATTGTGCAGTGTCTGCACTTCGTCTCATCCGTCCATGTATGGGGATTGCAGTCCCTCCGAATGAATCATCACGGGTCTGTCGTGTACGTTTCCCATCAAACTGGGGAGAGTCGGAGGCTGCTCGTTTCCTGGATGCACTTCCGGTACTGCTGTGGTTACTACCTGTATCGTTAAACCCCGCTGAACTAGGTGCGGCTTCCCGAGGCAGTAGAGATAAGATAGCGGAGTGGACATTAGCAGGGAAGCACGCGGTCAGGAGCTCGTTGTCCGTCGCAATATGCCCCACAACATCCAAAGGTGACGGGAAGATCTCTCCACTAGGAGAAATGAAGCGTGTCTCGCCCCGTCCAGAGTTTGTCTGTACACGCCAACCTTGACGTACCAGTGTGGGGAGTGCGTGGTTCTCAAACAAACTGATGACGAACTGCGCCTCCCGTTCGCTCACTTGGATAAGTGTGCGACGTGGTGCAGCTGCGGGGAAAGGAGCCATCATGAAGTCCCCAGTGTCCGGACTAGCGGGGGTTGCTCCATCCTCGCCCTTCATTAGCAGCAGAGAGATGGACGGCGGCGGTTGCGCCGGATCTGCACGTTCGATCTCGTCCTGGATCAAGATCTGCAGTGTGCCGTCCACTGTCAGGTCTTCTGCGTCGCCGTCGGCGTATACGACTGTATACAGCGACACTCTCTTGTCAAATTTGACCACCTGGCCTAGAAATCGCCCGTGCCCAGCGAAAGTCTTAGCGACACGGAGGCCTATTAGGTCTTCTGCAAAGATCTCGCGACCGTGGAACATGATACGGACGTCCCTCTGATCGCTGGGCGAGGGCGGCGTCGACGGTTCGTCGTCCTCGATATCGTCCACGTCGTCCTCCTCCATGTCTTCATCGGGTATTAGAGGGTTACCCTCCTCTCTCACACGACGGAATGAATGCAACTGGTTTGGATTGGAGCTTCCGGCATTGGCTACGCTGTGTGGTGGAAGTTTTTGCGGACCTGAGGCTTCTCCATTCCTCATCGAAGACGCAGGAGGCGAGTTACTACTGTTGTGTTGTCGGTCTCGAAGTTGAAGCAGCGCCGCGCTGCCTGACGAGAGCGAGGGGAGCTGGTTCCTACTGGACTGAGGGTTCTCGTTTTCCATTGGCTTGTGGCCGGAGGCAGAAGACGTCGCACTGCTTTGTGAGCCAGCGCTGGACGGACGAGTGGGTTTGGAGCGGATGTCCTCGTCCGGAGTGCCGGAGCTACTGGGAGACCCGCCGTTGTCCGCGTTCTGGTTCAGCGAGGCATTGTGCCAGCCGCTGTGGCTTTTGTGGTGGTGACTGGAAGAGAAGCCGCTGGACGTGGTGGCAGTATGGCCAGGGCTGGAGGAAGTCGAGCTGGGAGCGGAGGAGGCTTTAGCGCTCGCAGGACGTGCCGGCATCGCTACCGGGGCTGCTGCTCGAGCTGGAAGCTTGGATTGTGGTTGGAAAAGCTTCCGTTTTTAGTTGTTTGAGGTTGGCTCCCTAAGTCGGTGTGGACGCTTTGTGACGGTGTTATTTGAGTACACGGCGGTTTCACTCCTTAAACAGAAAGATGTGTGAAAGACGTGGGAATGGGTCCAAGAAAGAGATGAGGTTTTGTCTAATTTGAGGTGGATTTGTTCAAGGGTCCCGCAAAGGAAAAGAACGTTTCGTACCTGGTTGTGTGGGTGCAAGCTTTTGAGATAGCCCAGGCTGCAGCTGGCATTTTTAAGTACTTCTTCCTGTAGCTGCAACGGTTGTTCAATAAGGCGCACGCTAACCCAACTTCGACTCGAAGTTCGAAGCAGTCGTCGCCAGGAAAGTACACCAAGTGTCCACCCATGTTCAACAATGATTTGCTTCTACAGAAAGATGCTAAGGACCGCTCTTAGCCGATTTCTTGCAAGTGGATGAGAGTTAAGGTGGATGGTACTTTGAGAGTGGCTACGTGCACAGTTAATAAAGAGCAGAAAATCACAGTAATAAAAAGGGAGCTATCACGCATTCCCTAAACGCACCAGCTGGAGGCAGCGACAACCATTCTGCGGGATGAGTGGCCGATAAATTTCCCTCTCAGTCGCGAAAAGAGCCCCCGTGCCAACGCCTGTACTGCATCAATCTTCGCGATGCCCCAGCGCGAAGCTCGCAGAACGCACGAGAGGTCCCGCGCCGGTATTACCGGAAGCGAAAGTGAGAGCGAGGCCTCCTACGAGAAGACGCCACGGCGAAAGCGAGGAAAAGCACGGAGTGCTCGCTCAAGGAGGAGGCGGTATGTTTCAAGCAGGGACCGTGCACTGTCTTCAGACGATTCTTCAGATTCGGAGCAGCCCAGCCAACGTCGCGATGCAACTCGGAGTCAAGCGGATGTCGATCCAGTCGATGAGGACGCGTACGAGGACAACAACTCAAGCAGCGGGAGAGATTCCGACGAAGATGGCGGAGGAGTAACAGCACGTGATGAGTTGGTTTCGGTCCCCCCGCTCGATAGGCGATCGTTTGACACTTGGGAGTTACTGGAAGCTTATATCAAGGCCTACAGCAAGCGCACCTACCAGGTTGGGCACCCATTTTAGACTTCTTTCCAACTTCAAACTGTGCACAGTTTCTTATTGTGTTGTACATATCATTTTGTGCATGCAGGTATATTCTGTGCGAACTGCAACTCCTGCAAGTACACGCAACGCCAAAATCAAAGAATCCAACTCGTATTGTGATGAAATTCCTGCCGAACCGAAGTTCTACAATAAAACGTACGTGTGTACGCATTCGGGGTCACCGAGGACGGGGAGAGGTCGTCGCGGCGGGCGTCCTAACCAATATTTAAGGCGCATTGAATGCAAAGCTCAGGTTTAATTATCTAGACATGCTGCATGAAGAGCTCACTTTAACAATACCTGCTATTATTTGTATACTGCAGATTAATGCTTGTGTTCGTCTGTCTGGTGACTGGGCAGTCTGTATCACCAAACAAGTAACGACCCACAATCACGACGTTGATCCAGTCGCTTACCAGACATACCACGAAGCGAGGCAAGTTTCAGACGACAAAGTCGTGGATGGCGTGCGCGTGCTTCATCGTGAAGGAGCTAACCGGAAACGTATCCTTGAATACATTGTCGAGAATTCTTCGGTGCAGCCAGAGATGAAGGACGTACACAACCTTCTGGCTAGGCTCAAGCGGGAAAGCTACGATTTTCCGACCATGGAAGAACACATAAATAGCATCCTTGAGGACTTTACGTCCGAAAAGGGGAATTTGGCACGGGTGTACACGAACCAAGCGGTAGATGTTGGGTTTTATTAGTCAATCATGGCATAGCTTACTAACATTGTTGTAATGTATTACTAGGGAGTTGTGGAGTGTATTTCACTCCAGTCGAGTCATATGCGGACTATGTTCGAGAGCTTTCCAGAAGTCCTATTGATCGATGCAACGCATGACACGAATAGCTCAAACTACAAGCTATTTAGCTTTATGATCCACGACGATCTTGGCAAGGGTCAACATGTACAGGTTGGTGTTCGGTGCAAATTCTAGCTTGTGCAACAATTTGTAACCAGTTTGAAACTGTGTACGTTTCCGTGACTGTACAGCATTGTCTCGTTGAAAACGAGAGGAAAGAAACCTTGCGCACTGCGTGTGAGCAGTTTAAAGAAGGCTGCCCCTCTTTTGATTCTGTCGCCGTCATTATCATTGATAAAGATTTCACAGAGCTCGCAGTACTAAAAGAACAGTTTCCAAAAGCGCGAGTTTTGCTCTGCCACTTTCATGTGGTAAAGTATCTACAAGAGGAGGTTGCTAAGGAGAGGTTCAACTTTGGGTCGTGGACGAAGAATGAAATGAAAGACTGATACAACTACTAGTGAGCGCTCCAACGGAGGCTGGTTACGATAAGGTGTTGGCAGCCATGAAGATCCTGTTACGTTTGGAAGAGAAGCAGCAGTTGTGGTTTTCGTATTTTGACGACAACTGGACAACCTGTAAGGAACAGTGGAGCTCGATATATCGCGGCAACATCCCGCACTTGGGGAACCAAACCAATAACAGGTGAGCCGTGAGCTGATGTTACTACAAATTAATCACTCACTCGTATGTTAATTTTTTTCGTTTGATTAGGCTAGAATCAAGTTGGCAGAAGCTGAAATCGCTAGTTAATCGCTCTACTACTCTAGATGAATGCGTGGTTGCTATTTTATTTTGGCAGACCGTCAACGAGCGTTCATGGGAGCGGAGCATTAATCGCATTGGTGTCGCTGTGAACTCGGACTATGATGAGGAACTAAATATGCTGTTGAATTTGATATCCCGACATGCAGTTGAATTAGTCACGCAGCAGTACGAGTTTGCGATTCTACCAACTACCAAGTACCAGTACTATCCAGTGGGGCCATACATTATGATGCAGTATGACGATGAAAACAAAACCGATGACATTCTGGAAGAGTACATGATTAGTACTGAAGCGTGGACATGCTCGTGCATCTTTCGAATGACGCACTTGTTACCATGCCGCCACATCATCTATTATCGGAAAGAAACCGACTGCGATCGCTTGTTGCCAAAGAGTATTACTCACCCTCGATGGTTACTCAAGAACTACCGTAAACTGAAGAGCAAAGTGACACTTGTTGAGGACGTTGAGGAAGCTTTCGAGATTCGCGACATCAAGACCCCCTCAACAACTCGTACCAAGAGCCAGAACGAGAAGTTTAGAGAGCTGCAAGTCATCGGAAAGCAAATTGCTGAAATTGGTTGTCAGTGGGGTACCACAGCTCACGCTACCTTGACGGCTTCCATGGTCCAGGTCTTAGAAGCGGTGAAGGCTGGCAATTGTCCGTTACTTCGACAGCCCGAATCGGAACATCCTCGAAGTACATCACCAAGTTTACCAGAGCCCGACAGTGACTCACAAGCCAGTACTGTCTTACATCCTGAGCGTGGTACACATGCTAATAATGATGCACAGTCTGAGACTGGAAACCAATCTGAGATTGATCGCGCCATTAACACTGATGAACTGAGCTATGAGGGGATCAGCGTTGACGACAATCATGACATGCAACTATCACCGACTGGCGCCGCTCTTCTATCCTTCATGGAAGGCGTCGATGCGGACCACTTGCATCCAACTCAGCTCGCTCAAGAGACCTTTCCACTAATTCCCAGAATGGTGATCAGTCTCAGCCTGTAATCCCATCAGTAAATGTGCACGAGAGTCAGACTGGGCAGACTCATTTTGAGCGCCGTGAAGGCAACGAGGTGTTAAATGAACGCGAGGAGGAAAGCGAGGAATCAAAGGAAGAGACGCGTGCTTCAACCATGCCACTGTGGAGAATTTCGACAACTGTAAGAAAGTCAGGGCGCCCGAAGATTACACAAGCTGCCAGAAGAAAGGAAAACCGCGAAGCAATGCGAGGAACTACTCAGCGTGTGAATGCTATTGCTAATGGTGAAACCCCTTCTGTAGCTCTTCTTCTTGAAGCGGTTGCGGGTTAAGGCTCCATACAGCAAATACGCTGCTAGCCTACGTGCGTTGACTTTTTTGCAGACGAAGAAGCCCAAGGTTACCGTGTGGGAGAAGGAGAAACAAGCCCCCAACAGCAGAGGAGCGCATAATGACGGTGCTGCCGCTAAGAGTGCTAGATACGTGTATTACACAGGTCGCGCTGTTTCAGAATCGTTGGTTTAGCGATCATGAAAAGCAAATGCATGAGTATGGTGTCTCTGTTTCTGTGGGGCGAACGGTGTATAACGTTTCGACGCTGAAGTCGATGCGTTGTTGGCACACCGCATTGGAACAAAATGGATGATGTGGATGAAGCCATTAAATGGATCGATTCACTTGACTTAGATGCATGGAAGCCAGATAGTTCGGTCTGG